AATCAAAGACCAAAAGGATATCCACATGACATTTTTAGGTAAAATCAAGCTCTATAAGAAAATTAAGAATATTTATTGAAGATGGGTGTAAAGGGGGGTCTGTTAAACTGTCAAGAGTATAATATAAAATGCCAAGCATTATATATCTTCGTTGATACAAATTTACAATTTAAGGAACATGCTAATAACGTGAAAAAGCATATCTTTTAAAATAAACTATTTGAGGCGCTGTTCTCCACATCTCAGCAAATGGGCTAAAATAATAATTTATAATAATCTAATATTACCTCCTTTTAATTATTGTGCCACTATACTGTATTTGCTCAATCAGAATTAGTTGCAACGATTGCAAAAGTTGCAGAATAGAGGTATGATGATAATACTGAGCGGTTCTAGATTGGAACCAATCAATTTCATGTTGAATGTGCTTCAGTGGTTGCCTGTTAAAAAATATTTGCTATTCTATTCCCTCCTTTTTATATTTAAAATTAAATCAGGAATCTCCCCAGTACATTTACAAAATATTTTAAGTTATAATCAGGATGTTCAAGAACACAAAACACGTAATAAGAAAAATTTTTAGAGTTTATAAGGCCACGAAAAAATGTACACAAAATTAAGTGTTTTTTCAAGGTGTAAGTACAGGCTTTTAATAACTTGCCTTAAAATAAAGATATTAAATGTTCTTCAAACGCGGCAATATTTAAATTAAAATTGCGTGAGTACTTGTTGACCAATTGACGTTTTTTTTCTCTTTCTTGTTCTTTTATTATGTTTTGTATAGTTGACATGTAAGTGTACTGTATCTTATGCATTTTTTATTGTATTTTAAATGTACGTTGATTCTATACTTATGTATATTTTTTATATTTGAAATGTGAAGATGTATTGACATGTAAAAAATAGTTTATTTGACTAAATAAACGATTTATATATATTCTAGGTAGTTCTATAATTTTGATAATACAATTAAGTGCCTGACCTAAGCTCAAAATAACTAACCGATTTGAATTTAATTGATTATATCATTGTATGGAAACCAATTGAAGACAGTTTAAACATACAGGGTGATCAACTTATACCCCGGAGTTTGACATCTCCGTTGTTTTGAGGGATACTAACAAAAGTTTTAAATACAAATTATAAATAAAGTCTAGCTTCACATTTTAAAATTATTTCGTAATATGCAGGGTGTTTCATAAAGTCACAGCATACCAAAGTTGTTTGTGAATATTGGGTTACCCTGTATACAAAATAAAAGATATCAAAAACATGATGAGCTGTAATGAGTGACAATTTTATTAAGATTTTCACATAAAAGTGGCCATATCTTTAAAAGTACTCTGTAGAACCTGATAAAACCCTATGTTGCCGGACTGGGGAAAATGAGCAAAATTCAAATTCGAGATAACATATAGGGTGTTTCACTAAAAAAATATAACTTTGGTATGCTGCGACTTTATGAAATAATTTTAAAATGTGGAGCTGGACTCTATAATTTGTATTTAAAACTTTTGTTCGTATCCCTCAAAACAAAGGAGATATCAAACTCTGGAGTATAAGTTGATCACCCTGTATAATAAAATTATTTGTTATTGATATGCAGGGCCAACGAGAGGGGGGTAGCCGGAACAAATTCCCATGGCCGGGCTCAAGAGGGGGCCCAGCAGCGGCATAAGGGGGGCCCGGCAGCTTTAGGTGTCGTTTTTTTTTAGATTTTTTAGAATTGTAATTTTTAAATTTTTTTTTAGAATTTTATTTTTTAGAATTTTTTTTAGATTTTTTTTAGATTTTTTTTAGATTTTTTTTTAGAATTTTTTTTAGATTTCTTTAGAATATTTTTTTTTAGATTTCTTTAGAATATTTTTTTTTATTTTTTTTTAGAATTTTTTTTAGAAGTTCACCACAAGAGCACCATATAAGTTTTTGCTTGAAGACGTTGAAGACCTTTTGTTTTTTTTTAAAAAATGTGATATTGAAAGAGCTTAATTTTTATAAAATTGTTGTGGGTCCGACCTGGAAAATAGTCCCGAAGCCCGAACTGGCTCTCGGCGGGCCTGTTGATATAACTTTTCTATAAATTTGTTGGGAATTAAACCGTTTCTGTTATAAAATTGAAATGATCTGTAACTTTCAAATATTAGAGGAGAATAGACAAATTCAATTATATACAGAATGTTCCATTAAAATGGGTGTCGGCATAGGGGAGAACGAGTATATATGAACAAAAAGACGTCTCCCTTTATATGATTTTTGACTGGATAGTTTTCATTTTCCATGCATACTGTTAGCTATGGGTTCAAATACTCGTATACTTGGCCTACTAATAATTATCGCAATAATAAGTTTAGTAAAGAAAATTATATTAAAACGTTTTGTGGAATATCTACGCTCTGAGGAGTATTGCTACTTAATTACCTCCATACCGGTATAATATGACTCATCTTTTAAATCTAAACTTTACCCCCCATTCAGAAACATGATATTCTAGCGAAAAATAATTGCGATAAATGCATTTCTAAGCAGCCCCACCTTCAAGTAGCAATTTGGTAAAAAAGAAAGTAAGTCACTAGATGCAAACCACTACTTGTCTAACCCTACGCCAGTAGTTGCAACGCTAGCACATTTTCTTGTGACGTTCGTGTGGTTTTCTAATATCAAGCCGAGCGTAGGTACTTTACTGGTTTTCGACTAAATTGATTATTAATTGTTACAAGGAAATTGTCTTGTCAGTGAACAAAATTGTGTCGAAGTGTCGTGAACAGAGAGGAACTTTTAGTAAGTAAAATTATTTAAATATTATCTTGGGGGTTAAATCCAACGTAATTTCTTTTCATCGATATTATATATTTGGTCTATAATAATTCTATTTTGTCAGTGAGGTAAGAGTCAACAAAAACGCGCGTAATCGTATTGGAAATATTTTTTTAAAAATTTTCCGGCTGCGCGAAAATATTTAAAATTTATTTTTGGAAGGAATAGGTAGCTACTGGCTAAATATCCATATACAGGGTGTTTCAAAAAGGTATGTCATAAATTCTTCCTCAGATAGATTACCAAAAAATAGGTGGTTTTTGCTATATTTACCTATATCAAAAACTGGCTCCCAACAAAGTTGCAGGGCGTTAAACTAACATTCAGAAAAACGTTTTTTTTTGTAAAAAGTTTGCTGTTGCGATTTTTTCTTTGAAATTTTTGCCAGTGCTGTAGATTTAAAGGCCCAATATTCTAAAGAGAAAAAAATTAAAGCAACCCCTTTAAAAAAGTAGGGGGTTGGGTACCTTTTAACCCCCGTATTTTTTTGTCATAAAGAAACTTTATCGATCTTAAAATAAAAAAAAACTATGAAGTTTTAATTTTTTTTTATAGCAAAATGAACTTTGTATCGTTCTTAGTTAACGAGCTATTTACAATTTTTTAACTAAATTTCTAGAGCAATTCGTCCGTCCTGGACTTAACATATCAACAAAACTAAGAGTAGATCAGGAGTTATTCTACAAAAAAACGCATATAAAAATCAGTGGTGTGCCTAGGGATGTGCTTGAGTTGCCCCTGCAAAAAATACTTTTTATTTATATTTTTGTAAAAAAGGTATTTATAATATTGGATTGGCGCCATAAAAATGGTGTGCCATCCGTCCTCATGGGTTCACCATGCCACTGATAAAAATACACGTTAGTTTGGAAATGTATTTATTAAATTCAATAGTAATTAAAAAAATAATTTTTTTATTTAAACAATTAACAAAAAATTAACAATTAAAAATAGACACTAGACAATAATTATTGTACATATTTTATAAACTATTTAATTTAGTAAATGTTCAACATGTCCTCTTGCTTCTTGAATACAAAAATATAAATAAAAGAAGTAGTTTTTGCAGGGGCGGCTCAAGCACAGCCCTAGGCACACCACTGATTTTTATATGCGTTTTTTTGTATAATAACTCCTGATCTACTTTTAGTTTTGTTGATATGTTAAATCCAGGACGGACGAATTGCTCTAGAAATTCAGTTAAAAAATTGTAAATAGCTCGTTAACTAAGAAAGATAAAATTTTGCTATAAAAAAAAAATTTAAAAATTCATAGTTTTTTTGATTTTAAGATCGATAAAGCAAGTTATGACAAAAAAAATACGGGGGTTAAAAGGTACCCAACCCCCCAACTTTTTTAAAGAGGTTGCTTAATTTTTTTCTCTTTAGAATATTGGGCCTTTAAATCTACAGCGCTCGCAAAAATTTCAAAAAAAAAAAAAATCGCAACAGCAAACTTTTTACAAAAAAAAACGTTTTTCTGAATGTTAGTTTAACGCCCTGTAACTTTGTTGGGAGCCAGTTTTTGATATAAATAAATATAGCCAAATCCACTTATTTTTTGGTAATCTATCTGGGGAAGAATTTATGACATACCTTTTTTAAACACCCTGTAGAGTTTTAATTTAATTTTGGTAAAATCGAAAATTTACCGCATGAAGGTTCATTAAAAAAATTATTAAATTCAATAGTAATACATTTAAAATAACCATAAAATTAAAAAAATAGTTTAAAATATTTTGTTTAATTTCATAAATATATTTATTTTTGTTAGAAGGCGAATCTCCGCATTTGAATAACATGTTTGAAAATTGATTGATGGATGTAGTGCTGTCATTGACCTGCTCGATCACCTAATATAAGACCCTTAGACTTTACGTGACCCTCGGACCATGGTGTTAATATTTTAATATATTTTAATATTAACACCACGCTATAGTAACACCAGATATTATTTTTTTGGTTTAAAATTTAGTTTAAAGCAAAAAAATATGTTTCTCTTTTATTATTATAAAATTTTGGGGTCACAGTCGCCTTCTTTTACATTTAATTAATTTTAAAAATAAAACCATAATAAATACTTTACTGCATACTTTATTATTACGGATTAAGCATAGAATGTTTATAAAATTTTCACTGATATTCAAATTTATCAATAAAAGTTTCTGAAAGTCTTATATTGTCCATAAATCTGAATCCCCCCTAGTATTTTTAATATAAATAGCGATCTAGTAGGTAGGCCATGCCCGACAAAACATTGTATTAGGGATTTTTTATCCAAAAATTTAATAAAAAAAATTCTCAAGAATCGTATAGGCAAAATCAACAATTTCAATAAAAATAAAAAAATATTAAAGTCCAAACAATTCGAATACTGTATTGTAAAGAAAGAAAGCTAATTTTATTAGTAATTTAATGCACAACATAAAATATAATTTAATCAAAAATGAAGTTAAATAATTGAAAAATCTTGGAGAGCTATGATATTTTAATAGCAATCAATGAAACTAACGCAAAATATTTGATAATTTCGTTTTTATCGAAGTATTTCCGATACTTTAGCTACATTAGAGCAAATTTAGGAAAGTCCGGAATTGTCTAATTTTTTAATAAGATAAATCGGTGAAAAATAAAAAAATTATTGATTTTTGAAAAATATATTCCTTTAATTAAAGCCGCAGTATATAATATTTCAACTATTTGGGGAGTTCAACCCTGTACGTACAGTAGGGTGTCCCTTATATGGATGAAAAATTTTTTTTTCGGAAATCTAATTGCATACTCCGTAGGTTAATCTTGATGACCTTGAGTTTGTATAAACTCCCTAAACGCATGTCTTTTTTTCTCTTCTTTTAATTTTCCCTCTCTTGCCTTTTCAACCGACTTCAATAAAGGAGGAGGTTCTCAATTCGTCGCAATATTTTTTTAAATTTGTTTTTTTATGTATATTCAGCGATAATTCTTTAACACGGTGTCCGATTTCAATGATTCTTTTTTTGTTAGAAAGGAGGTACTTCATGGGTGGTCCCATATAAATTTGGTCAAAATCTAATAATTGGGTCCATGAGAAAATTCCCAAACTCTTCATTTTTATGTATATTTAGCGATAATGCTTTACCACCTTGTCCAATTTATAGAATTCTTTTTTTGTTAGTAAGGGGTGGTCCCATATAAATTTGGTTAAGATGTGGTGATGGCATCTGCACGTTTTTGTATTCGTTTTTTTTTTAATTTTTAATTTCTAATACTTGTTTCTCGGTTAACTTTTTGTCTACACCCGCTAAACACTCTGGGCCCCCTGGTTCTCTTTGTTTTTGTAAAAATAATTTATCTTCTTCGATTTTCATCCGTTCCAAAGCATGAGCGTGTGCTATCGAATAAATTATCTAAATTGTTTTGAAACCTCACGGCGTTTGTAAACATCTTGTATTTTTTTGGTATTTTTCTGCAACTCCCTCCAAGAACGGTGAAGATCCACAATTTTTTTTCACACAGTTAGATATAGCTCTGGTAGGGATTCTAGCCTTTTCCCAAAAAATAATATACTCTCGAATGACGAGATTTGCGCTTTCACTAACAGTCAGTTTGACTTCGAAAATGTTAAAAAAAAGTACTGCAAGAACTTGACGGTAACTTTGCGCCTGTTATTTGATAATTTACGTCACCAACTAAGAAAATACTTCATCGCAACTTGTATGAACATGATTCTATGCAAGTCGGCACGGGTTATCGTACTTCAAATTAGGTAAAAATTTATTTCCGAGTGTTTTAAGAGCAAGTGAACAGAACTTTGAAAAATAAGGGGCACCTTAATGTACAGGGTGTCGCGCTTCATGTTAAAGTTAAAAAAAGAGTTTTACTTAATATGCCAAAAACGTTTTAATCCATTTCAATAGAATGTTTGTTAATATCCCAATGAGGTATCTTTTGGACATATCGTGAATCCAAAATTTCCATAGACCTGCAATCTATTATAAAAACAAAGCGTTTACGGACATATTTTTGATGTTCCCTATCACCCCTATCACTCGAGGTGACATAATGTATTTAATAAAAATCGCCTCGTGAAAAATTCTATCAATGAATGTTTACCTACAAATATTCGTATATGTAGGCATATAAGAAGTTCATCGACACTTTATTTTTCGGTATTAAATTATATTCGTAGTCATCGAAATTAAACGCATCTATTTACCTACTACTAATTTAAATTAATCTAATTTAATTTGCAAATCAGTAAAAATAATTAATTGACTTCTCTTACAAAGTACCTAAGTAGTTTTTACCACTTTTAAGGTACCATTTCGGTAGGCGCGACATACGAACGCCGACGCGACCGAGAAGTGTCGCTTCACATCTAAAATACATACAATTATATGAAACACATTTCGCACGGCGCGACACGAGAAGTGTCGTCAAGACGACACTTCCTGACGACACTTCTGAATCTGTCTCGGGGCAAAGCGTTTGCTGCGTATCGCACTCGAGGTCACTGTCCTCAGGCATCGCTTCTTTTTGGGGGTGATTAGGTTGGAAATTTCTTTTGATCTAGGCAGCGTTGCCAGATTTTGGAACAGTATGGGTAAAAAAAAACCGTAGATCTGAACAGTAGATTTTAATACAGGGGGAAATAATTATAATTTGCAGTGTAGTAAATAAAAAAACAAGTATATAAGAAACGAAAAATAAACTTTTTTTTACCCAAATTAGAAACTAAACAAAGAATAAAAACAAATAATATCATTTTTAATATATACTTAACGTAAGGAAACAAAAAAAAACCAATGAAAAATAATAGGTACCTACTTCTTTTAGATCAGTCTGAATCAGATAATTCAAAATCGTAGTGTGCATGTTCTTTTTATGATGCCATATTAATTCTTTGTTTCATTTTGAATAAAACCAATGATTATCTTAATGTTTTTTTTTATGGAGCCAACCTAGAGTAGTGGATGCTTATTACGC